TATATACACACACACACTCTACATGTATGTGTATACACACACACACACACACACACACACACGCACATGTGTGTGATACCTGTCCAGGTCAGAAAACAATTTTCTGGAGTTGATTCTCTCCTTCCACCATGTGGATTTTGGGCATTGAGCTCAGGTTTAAGGCTTAGTGGTAAGTGCTCTTACTGAGCCATCTCACTGGCTCAAGACTTAACTATTTTTAAATTTTAAAATTACATTAGTTAGACCACTTTAGTATTTCTATTTCAAGTTTTTACTTGTATTACTAGGTTTCATCATTATAAAAATTTTAAAGCACTCACAAGCTATTTACAGTCTTTTGATGAGACAAACTCTTAGCTATATACAGCTTTCAGGCTGGCCTTGAACAGGTTTCATATCTTAAAATTTTAGATGGTTTGTTTTGATCAAGTCAGTTTTTAATCTATATTTGCATGTAAACTTAATGACCAGTTAAAACTAGTAATTGTTTCAAATTTATAGAGTGATTTTATGTCCTGTAGGTGGAGGGCATTATAGTTACCAGAGCAGGGTAATATTAGCTCTTAACTGTCCATTCTACATATAAATAACTCATTGTTCTATAGAGAAGATTGCTAGCCAGGGGAGGTTTGGGGAAACTCTAGTATGGTTGGAGTGGAGGCATTGAACTGGTTGCTGTTGTGCATTTGAATAAGAATGCAAAGGATATTGCATTCCACTTTCTAGATACTAATTTTGGAAGCCTTTTGCAAGGATTGGAAGAAACAAGCTACTGTGAAGAAGTGCCATCATCTTCCTACATAGTAAACATCTGTGTGCACATACTGGAACATTATTATGTTTGTAGGTGGACAAGATTTGTCATCACTATTTTTAGAATCTAGTAATCAGGCAGTAGATTACAACTGGTTTCATTCTGAAATTTCGACTCCATTAGGCCTCAGCCTTTTTTCTTCAGCTCTAAAAATATTTGAAACCTTGATCATGGTATATCCAATTTTCAGTGAGCCTGAATTGTACATACTTTTTTTTATAAATTCCTGTTTCTTGACTGAACAAGGTTCACCAGACAATTCATTTTGAACACAACCTTTGAACTAATTCTACCTTAAGTCTTTTTTAACAGCTCTGTGTAAATGTAGATAGTGTTTGCTTTGCATTTTCGGACCCTTTTTATATCATTTCCTCAGAGTTCTTTGAGCAAGTTATTTAAGTTCTCTTTAATTTCTGCATATGTAAAATGAGATTATCATACCTACCATACATATGAAGCAAGATAGCTTTCTATGTTAAAGAGAGTATATTAGAACAGTTCCAAGGAGTTTATAGTGTTGGTTATTTGTCTTAGACACTGGAAAATAGCCTCTCGAAAGAAATTTATGGGCAAGAGGTTTCTTGTGGAGTGCTCTTCGTGGGAGAGGGAAGGAGGCAGGATTTGTCAGAGGGGAGAGTTGATCTGTGTTGTAGGTGCACCTGAGATAAAACTTTTCAGTGTGTTTAAACTTTGAGCTGTGAGGGCAGGGCCTTGACTCTGTCTCTGTCTGTCTCTCTGTCTATCTGTCTGTCTCGCCTGCTCACTCACTCATTTACTCATTCAGGTATTGTTGGGTATTTGGACTTAAGTTGCTCCCCTAGAGATGGTAGACCTTGGGGTGGCCTCTCTGCTGGAAAACTTGGAGAGGACCTTGTTTTCCTGGCATTTACCAGGCTCTTCCTTTAGACTATCATTGTCATTCACAAAAGGTAGAGTGGGATAAATAAACTTGTCTCACTAACTGCTAAATAGGTTTTGTGGGCCAGACTGAGGGATTACCACTGTATAACATTATTTTGATGGGAAGATAGGTTTTGAGTCATGCATCAGTTTATAAATACACTTATTTTTTGAGTACCACCTATTTCCTATGAACAGCATTTTTATTTTGCTTTATTTTTGATCAATAAATAAACATACCTTATAGCCGGGTTTGTAGTGTATTTTAAATTGGTTGTTCCTTTTAGACATTTATTTTATTCATACATTTATTCATTTATACATTTATTCATATAGTCATACGTCATAAATTACTTGTATGAATCAGAAGGAAAATAAGAAATATTTGCTTGTTTTTCTCTTGTTTTCCCCCCACCCACCACTTTTATTTTATTTTTTTCTGAGACAGTTTTGCTTTGTAGCCCAGGCTTTCTTCCCTCAGTTCTGATTTCCTTGCTTCTGCCTCCTGAGTTCCTGATGTCTGAGTAACAGGCACGACCTGTGCACCTGGCTGACATTGTCTTTCCAT